ACACACACACACACACACACAATAAAACATATATATATACACAAAGAATAAGACACCTATTATTTTTTTAAAAAATCACAACCCAAAACTTAGTAAAGGTTTACATAAGAAATAATCTTGCAGGCTTAACGAGGATGAGAAGGGATGGTGAGAGTAGCAAAGAAAAAGAGAGAGTCTTATGGCAACAGTCTTAGAGGTTGCTCTGGGCTGTGTCCGTCCAAGTCTGGTCTTTTTTTATGAATTTGAGTCCTGTTCTACATTTGTTTCATCTTTTTCTAAACATGACAGGTAAATGTATAGTTTTAAAAGTAATATTTGATAGCTTGAGCGTGGTGTTGAATTTTCATATTTCTCAAATGTGTCAATTTACTTGCTAACAATCATTGTTTTTATTAGTTCTCTGGTAGTTTTAAAGTAGTTTCTGAATTCTTTGACATATCAAAAAGTGTAGGAAGCAACTATCTGTCTTTGTGATGTTATTCTTAAGATAAAGCTAGAAATTAAATTAATGATCGTGGATAAAATGCTTAATTGAACATGTATTTGCTAAATGCATTCTTTGTGTCAGATCCTGTTTTGTTGTTGTTGATTGCCTTTGAGTTGAGCACGACTCATAGCGACCCTATGAACAAAAGGCCTGAGGCCTTTCTATAGCTATAGACATTTATCAAAAGTTCATAGTTTCCAGAGGCATGTTGTTTAGGAAGTGGATGCCACTCCTGTTTCCAGTCCTGTTTTAGGTACTGGTTTCTTCTGGTAAGCAAAACAAACCTTGTCACTAAGAAGAGAATTTCATTCTAGTATGCAAAGTAGAAAAAAGAAACAATTGAATCAATAACTGGAAAGTTATTTCTTAATCTTAGGTAACTTACATTTGTATATGTTGCTGTATGCCATTGATTCAGAACTATGTCATAGCTGACTCTCCAGTGGGTTTTTAATGGCTGTAAATCACCCGAGAGGAGATGTCTATCTTTCTCTCATGGAGCAACTAACTAGTGATTTCAAGCCATGCGCCTTTTGGTTTACTGTGAAATTCTTTACCATCTAGGCATCTAAAGCTCCCTTGAGTGAACTATGAGAATACAAAATTGGAAGACATAGTAGTAGATGACTTGCTAGCTACTTTAGATTGAATAATGAAGGTGATAGTTGAGAGTTAAGCTAAGTGATGGGTAAACTTAGCTCATTGCCATCGAGTCAGAACTAGCTCATAGATTACCCTCCAGAGAGTTCCTGAGGTTTTAATTCACAATGTGGGGTCGATCGGCCATCTTTCTCTCTCAGAGCCACTAACTAAGATTCAAGCCAGTAGAGAAGAGTGGCGGTTGGATTAGCAGCACATCTCCCTACTGACTCTGCATCCAGAGCTCCTACTGGTGATGAGTAGGTGGCAGTAAGGGATTTGTTAGAATGGTGTTTGAACCACAGAAAGTGGCCAGTGAAGAGACATGGACTTGACATGTTTGAGGTGTGGAGTGGTCCACGTGGTGGGGACCTTAGGGATGAAGGTGCAATGGTAGAGCCCCACCAGAGTTTGACTACATGCTAAAACCAACCTTCTACAGTTGAGTTGGTTAATCATGATACCCTTCCCACTTTATAAATCTTTATGGGAAGACACTGTCCATTTGCCTCCTGGCTAACTGCCAATCTCTGGGTTAGTTAGGATTCCAGCATGGAAACTAATGAAATATGTATGCCACCAAGCCTGTAAACCAGGTTAAATATTTCCTTCTAGTTGCAAGTAGAATGCCGTTAGAAAGTGTTAAGCAGGAGGACCATGTCATCAGGTTGTAATTGGAAGCAATTCTTCTGTGGCTGCTGTGACGGAAATGGATTGTACTGGTGCTGGAGAAGGACTCAGAGGCTGTGACCCTTTGTGAAAGGAGCTCTGGTGGAACAGTGGTGAAAACGCACATCTGCCAACTACATGGTTGTCAGTTCAAACCTTCCTACCGCTAGCCTGATGGGAGAAAGATGTAGCAGTTTTCTTCTGGAAACACTTACGGACTTGGAAACCCTGTGAAGCAAGTCTACTTTGTCCTATGAGATTATTAGAAATTGAAATGCAACTGATGAGAATAGATTTGAAGATTTTTTTTTAAATTTTTTTTTTTTAGGAAAGGTCCAGACCAGTACTCTTTTTGGAGCAGTGGATTGTCTAATAGACTGTTAACTAAAGGCCAGTGGTTCGAAATCCATTAGCTCTTCATTGGGAAGAGATGGGATAGTTTGCTTCTGCTAAGATTTTCAGTCTTGGAACCCGTAAGAGAGGTTCTCCTCTGTCCTATAGAATCTATACCAATTGGAATTGACTCAACAGCTGTGAGGTTATCGTCTAGAAGAAAGCTGACAATGACCTAGGAAAGATGGTGGAGATTAATATGATGAAAGGTTAACAGCCATGGAACATGTGTTAGAAGAAGCAGCTCAGAGTGGGAAGGCTGAGGGAAAGAGAGGAATCCAGATAACTGTTAGACATTATGGAGGCACTGTTCTGAGATTCAGAAGAAGTACTGCCCATCTCTGTCTAATTTGTAACAACCAAAGAAAAATGGCCATTTTTTTTCCCCTTCAAGGGGTAGTATAACTAGGATGTAGTGTAAACTATGTTTAAATTATAAAAATTTCATGAACTATATTAAATATATTATAGCATAATATGACATGACATAACATTTATATGTTGTTTTTGTTGTTGTGTACCATAGAGTTGGTACCGACCCATAGCTGACCCTCCAGTGGATTTTCATCACAACACAACATAACATAACATAACATAACATAACATAACATAACATAACATAACAACATAACAACAGCATCTCTTATAAGAGCTCTGGTGCCCTATTTGTAAAGACTTGTACTGTCAACCTAAAGGCATCTGGTTTAAATGCTCCAACTGCTCCGCTGGAGAAAGATGAATCATTTCCTCCCCTGCAATTTGTTGCTGCCGTTGAGTACCATTGAGTCAGAACCGACCCATGGCTGACCCTCCAGATGGTTTCCGGAGGCAGTTAATCACATGGGAGGAGTTTGCCCATTGTTTTTCCTCAGAGCAGCTGGTGGACCCAACCGCATGCCTTTGGGATTGCAGTGCAGCTTCTTGCCACTGTTGTTGTTGAATGCCTTCAAGTCAAGCACGACTCGTAGCAACCATATGAACAAAAGGCTTGAAGCCTCTCTACAAATATGGACATTTATCAACATTCAAGGCCACTGGAAATCCACTGAAGCATGTGTTGTGAGCTGCATCTGACTCGATAGTACCTAACCACACAATTACAAAAATTCGCTTTCTCCTACTCATTTATGAAAAAAGCCAGTTCCTTTGCACTGAAGAGACTGCACAACCGTGAACTTTTAACATGGTTTTATTACCTTATCTAAATCATTTTTATTAGAAACAACTGTGAACACCGTAAGATAGTTTTATGCTACATATATATTTAGAAAACATTATTTCTCTAATCTAAATATACACTTTACATGTTGCTTTCATCTTTTATTCTTTTGATAGCCTGTTTTAATGGCAAATGATGTATTCCTATTTTCTTCTCTTATTAGATACTTTTAGAGTGAAAATAATTAATTTATAGGCATATCATCCATATTTGCAATTATTTTTCCTCACAAAGATTTAAATGAATTGATGAGACTGGAATTCACAAATGATAAACTGTAATCATTTATTTACACATATATTTGTGTCCTAATACTGTCTAATACTTTCCTAAGATAGTAATACTTATTATATCTTTTTAAAAATACCCTTCAGGTGGACTGGAGAATACAGGGGCCTAACTCACAGGATGTACTGCCCCCACACAACAGTGACATTGCAGACCCCGTGAGCGGGTCCTTCTATTTTGAAGAAGGAGAAAGAGGTCTAAGGACTATAGCACTGACAATCTATCCCTCTGAAAAAATGGAACCTGAAGAAGCTTTCATTATTGAACTTAAGCTTATGAAAGGGGAAGCTAAATTAGACTCCAGAGCTAAAGATATTACATTAATAGTAAGTATGATTTCTGTTCTGTTCTCACAAAATTTATTTTTTAGTAGACTTATAAGAAAACACATTTATATTTGTTGAAACCGAATAGGTGTATGAGTTGAAAATGATAAAAACAAGTTTGTAGTAACTCTGCTAGGCAGAATCTTCTGGAATCTTTTGTTCATTCATTATATAGCCTGAATATTCATATTTTGTCCATTGTTATTATTACTTTTCATGCAAGTTTACAGAGACTTTGGATTTCCATTCATTCATTGTTTTACTTTTCTCTCTGCTCACTCTTTCCCGCCTCCCCCCACCTCCCCCAGTTTGCTCTTCTCTTTGAAAAGTAAAAGAAAAATTCTTTAGTTGTTATAAAATCCCTCCCTTCTAGTCCACTCCACTATGCAGCCTTCATTCTGGACTCCTGTCATGACAATAGTACCTAATCATATATCCCTCTTAAACAGTTCTCTCCCTCATCTGTTTCAATGCGTTATACATTATTTATCCCATCTTTTTTTTTTAAATTTTTTGTGTGTATACCATAAAATTAGATCTGACAGGTCCAGGAGGAGATTGCCCCTCCTTCTCCAGCAGAGCATCTTGTGGATTCAAATCACGTACTTCTGGGATTGCAGTGCAGATTCCTGTCACTACGCCACCAGAGCTCCCTTTATCACATGTTTCTCAGTTTCCCCCCAACCCCAATGTCGGTCCCATTTTACAACAGTGGCGCTATGCAATATTTGTCCTTTTGTGACTGAGATATTTCACTGAGTATAATGCCCTCCAGAGTCACCCATTTGGTATAATATTTCATGAATTCCTTATATTTCAATGCAGCATAGTGTTCCATTGTGTGAATATACCACAGCTTCCCCATCCATTTGTTTGTTGATGGGCACTTGGGTTGTTTCTAACTCTTTGCTATTGTGAACAAAGCTGCAAAAAACATGGGTGTGCATATATCTACTTGGTTGGCAGTTATGGTTTATTTCGGGTATATTCCCAGTAGTGGAATTGCTGTGTCAAATGCTATTTCTATTTGCAACTTTTTGAGAAAGCACCATACAGCCTTCCACAGTGGTTGCACCATTTTATACTCCCACCAATAATGAATAAGAGTCCCAGTTTCTTCACAACCTCACCAGCATTTGTTGCTTGATGTTATTTTAAATTTTGCTATTTTACTTGGGTGAGATGATATCTTATAGTTTTGATTTGCATCTCTCTTGTTGTTGTTGTTATGTGCCGTCGAGTCACTTGTGACTCATAGTGACCCTACAACAGCCCTAAACTCTGCTCTGTCCTGTCCCAATCTCACTGTCTACAACACACCCATCCCAGTTACCCCTCTCACCGAATCAGTCAATCCACCTCCTAGAGGGCCTTCCCCTCCTGTGTCTGCCCTCCACCCTCCCAAGCATGATGTCCTTCTCCACAGTGTCTCCTTACAACATGACCCAAGTATATCAGACAAAGCCTCAGAATCCTTGCCTCCAAGGAGCAGCCTGGTTTGACCCTTTCCCAGATGCATCTATCTGTTTTCTTAGCAGTCCATGGTACCCTCAATACTCTTCTCCAAGACCAAAGTTCTAAGGCATCAATTCTCCTTCTATCCTCCCTAGTCATTGTCCAACTCTTTGATGCATAACAAGGGATTTTGAACATTTCTTCATGGTTTTTGTTTGCAAATATGAAAACCTAGAGGAAATGGACACTTAGAAATGCACTACCTACCTAAACTGACACAAACCAAAATTGAACCCTGAATATTAATAAGTTAAATGCTTAATGTTTTTAAAAAACATAGAAATATTTGGAAAATATTTTAATACGGTTATTGTTGTTGTTATGTGTCATCAAGTTGCTTTGAGACTCATAGTGACTCTAAGTGCAAGAGCCGTAAACCCTCATTATCCTGTGCCAACCTCACTGTCTCTGACACACTCACTCCCGCCACCCCAATCACAGAATCGATCCATCTCATTGAGGGTCTTCTTCTCCTATGCTGTCCCTCCACTTTCCCAAACATGAAGTCTCTCTCCAAGGACAAGTTCCTCCTTGCAACATGCCCAAAGTATGTCAGACGAAGCTTCAGAATCCTTAACTCCAAGGAGCATTCCGGTTTCACCCTCTCCAGGACAAACCTGTTTGTTCTCCTAACAGTCTATGGTATATTCAACACTGTTCTCCAGCCCCACGGCTCAAAGGCATCAATTCTCTTTCTATCATCCCTAGTCACTGTACAACTCTCTGATGCATAGCACGTAATTGCAAAGACTATAGCCTGGATCAGGCGCACCTTAGTCTCCAGCTTGACATAGTTGCTCAGCAGTACTCTTGAGAAAACTTAATGCTTAAGGAATATTTGGCACTTTTGGGGTAAAGGCATTTTGTGTATCATCCTAAATGTTGCTTATCTTTGTATTTAACTATTTATATGTTACTAACTGACAAATCAAATTGTTTTCTATAGAGTGATACTTATCTGTTTAGCATAATATTAGCAGTAAAGATCAGACCAGAAAGTTGGAATATATGATATGAACCACCAGTCCATTAGAGGTAGAACTTTGTGAAAATAATGCAACAGAATTATGCGTTCTGTTTTACTTTGGAAAATACTGTTGTGAGAGGCTTTTGCCTCTTTCAACATTATATCCTGATTAGTAGGAAGAAGTTAATTACAATTAACTGGTTAAATGACGCAAATATGAGGTGAATAAACCTAAATTTAGACACCAAAATACAGTCTTGTGAGCAAACAGATTTTGGGTTTCTGGAAAGTTATTCCCATTATCTTGAGAAATGTTGCTATTGTTAGATGCCGTCAAGTTGACTCATGTTGCTGTTTTTGTTAGGTGACATTAAACTGAGTATGGCCCATTGTGACCTAAGGAACAGCAGATTTGAACCCTGTCCTATACTGTGCCATTCTTATCATCTCTGCCACACTTGAGCTCATTGCTGCAGTCACTGGGTCAATCCATTTAGTTGTGGTTTTCTTCTCTTTTGCTGACCCCTCTTTCCAAGCATGATGTTCCACTTCAAGGAATAACCTACTAGTAACATGCTCAAAGTATATGGGACAGACTTTGTCATCTTTGCCTCCAGGGAGCATTCTGGATGCACTTTTTCCAAGACATATCTGCTTGTTCATGTAGTACCCCATGGTTATCCAGTACTCTTTTCCAATACCATAACTCAAAGGCATCAGTCCTGTTCCTGCCATCCTTATTCATTGTCCAGTTTTCAGATACATAGCAAATGATTGAAAGACCATGGCCAGAATCAGGCATACCTTAGTCTTCAAACTGGCATCATTACTTCTCATTAATTTGGAGAAGCCACTGATTACAGATTTCTCAATGCAATACATCTTCTGATTTCCTCACTGCTCATACCAGCAATGTTGATTGTAGATACAAGAAAGATGAGACTGTTTACCAGTTCAGTTGTTTCTCCATATGTCATGATATTGCTTATTAGTCCACTGTTGAGGAATTTTGTCTTCTTGGTGTTGAGATGCCATCCAGATTGAAGACTTTGTAGTCTTTGATCTTCTTCAGCAAGTGTTTCAATCCCTCCTCATTTTCAGCAAGCAAGGTTTTGTAATCTGCATAATGCATATTATTAGTTTATTACTACGAGTCTTCTTATCCTTACATCACATTCTTCTTTATAGAGTTCAGTTTCTGAAGTGATTTGTTCACGGTTCAGATTGAATAGATATGAAGCAAAGATACAACTCTGAAGCACATCTTTCCTGATTTTAAACCATGCACTGTTCTCTTGCTCTATTCAGACAATGGCTTCTTGATCTAGGTATAGATTCCACATGAACATAACCAAGTGTCCTGAGGGTCCCTTTCTTCTCAGTGTTAGCTATAGTTTATAATGATCAACACAGGATCAGCCAGGATTCACCTGACATCAGTAATGATATCCCTGGTGCCATAGCCTCTTCTAAATCCAACCTGAACTTCTGAAAGTCCTCTAACAATGTACTGTGCTATCCATTTTTGAGTGATCTTCAGCAATAGTTTCCTTGCATGTGATATGACTTGTTATTGTTATGTGCTGTTTAGTCTAGTGCAACTCATAGCAGTCCTAAGAATAACAGATCTAAACCCTGTTCTATACTGAACAATCCTCATAATTTCTGACACACGTGAGCCCTTTGGTACACTCATGGTATCAATGCATTTCATTGAGGGTCTTCCCGTCTTTCAGTGATTCTCCATATTTCCAAATGTGGTGTGTTTTTCCAGGGTCTGGCCTTTCCAAACAACCTGCCAGAAGTACATGAGTCAAAGTTTCATCTTTCTTGCTTCAAAGGAACCTCTGCTTTCACTTACTCCAAGACGTATTTGTTTGTTCTTTTGAAGGTTCATGGCAAATATTCAGTGCTTTTCTCCAATAGCACAAGTAAAATAATACTGATTCTTCTCTTGTCATCATCTTTATCATTGTCCAGTTTTTACATGAAGAGGTAATTGAAAACACCATGGTCTGGATCAAGCACACCTCAGTTTTCAAACTGATATTGGTGCTTTTTAGTTCTTCGGAGAGGTCCTTGACACAGATTTCCCTAATGCAACTTGTCTTTTGATTTCTTCACTCATGATGCCAAGGGTATGGATCAATGTAAGATGAAATAATTGACAATTTCAACCTTTTCTCCAGTTACCATGATGTTGCTTATTGTCCAGTGGTGAGAATTTCTGTCTTCTTGATGTTGATAAATAATCCATACTAAAGGTTATTGTCTTTGACCTTCTGTAGCAAGTCTCTAGTCTTCTTCATTTTCAGCAAGGAAGGTTGTGTTATCATACAACAACATAGTTTATTGATTAGACTTTCTCCAATTCTTATGCTACATTCTTTTTCATATAGTCTATCTTCTCAAATTATTTGCTCAGGATCAAGATTGAATAGGTGTGGAGAAAAGATATAGCTCTGTTGCATGTAGTTTTTCCATTTTAAACCATGTAGTACTCCTTTGCTTTTGTTTGGATATATGCTTTGTGTGAGAATTACGTGTTCTCTGGGTTTTTATTCATCTCAATGCTAGTCACGAACATTTTTCTGATATTTTCTGCTTTCAACCAAGATCCATTTAACATCATCAGTGATATTCCTGGTACCACAGCCTCTTCTAAATGCAGCTTTAATTCTGGCAGTTCTCTGTTAAGAAGACAAGGCAAAGTGTGGTAATGAAATGTGCAAAGAGCTAGAGTTATAAAATAAAAAAGTAACGAAGAACTTGCTCAATGTTTCTCAAGCTTAAAGAACGTAAGGACAAAGTGAAGCCTCAAGTTGCAACACTAGAGGAGATTATGGGCAAAATTTTGAATAATGCAGGAAGTACCAAAATAAGCTGGAAAGACATTTATACATACCTTGCTCAATTGTCCTATTTTCACAATATTAGTCTCCTGCAGTATTTGCCCTGTTGTGACATTTTCAGTCATAATGCTCTCTAGAAGCCCCCACATTGTGTCACATCTGGAAAATCACTAGAATGGCAGAAGTTAGTAGTTAGATTGGGTAGAGTAATGAGATGGATTGACTCAGTGACTGGAGTAATGGGGGTGAGTGTATCAGAGATGATGAAATTGGCTCAGGATAGAGCAGAGTTCAGAGCTGTGGTACGTAGTGTGTCCCCATGAGTAGGAGTCAATTTGACAACATATAACAATCACAAAACAACAAGGGGAACTTAAAGAGGTGGAATGATAAAAGGCATATATCAGTAGTAATTAATTGTAAAAAACACTGTCTATGAATGAAGTTTCATGTATATGAATGATTGTATACAAACAAAAAAAAATGTGGAAAGAATATGTACAGCCACTGTACCAAAAATAATTGGTTGGTGGGGAACCATTTCAGGGAGTAGTTTAGGATCAAGAATCAATGTTAATGAAGAAAGAAGTCTAAGCTGCACAGAAGGTATTGGAAAAAAAATAAGGCCCTAGGAATTGAGGGAATACCAGTTGATATGTTTCAACAAGCAGATGTAGCCCTGAATGAACGTAATCTATGCCAAGTAATTTGGAAGATAGTTAACTGGCTACCTAACTGACTGAGGGACTGCCATATTTGCTCCCATAGAAAGGTGTTCCAAAAATATGTTGAAATTATTGAACAATATTATCCTTGAGGAATAGGATCTCATTTATTGTAATAAAGAAGATTTGAAAATGAGATAACTAGGTTGTATACAAATGTTCATTAAGTTTTTTTATTTTCTTTATTCATACTTATATGCTGAAGACTATACTTACATCTGCAGTGTTTATACATGTTATTCATTCTGCTTTCTGTTTATATTCTTTAGATACAAAAGTTTGGTGATCCAAATGGAATTGTTCAGTTTGCTCCGGACTCTTTATCTAAGAAGACATACTCAGAGCCATTGGCTTCTGAAGGGCCTCTGCTCATCACTTTCTCCGTCCAAAGAGTAAAGGGTGTTTTAGGAGACATTATGGTATCATTTTTCTTTATTATTTTGCCAACTACAGTAACAAATTTCCTAAAATATGTAATTGAGTGGGTTCGAGAAATTGCTCTGTCCTGGTTAATTGAGGTTTCTGATAAAGAGAAGACATGAGAATTTCCCCAGAAAAGCTGAGAGGTTTCATTTATGCACGCTTAGGATTTCCACCCAGCCTCAACTTGCAGCAGTTTCTCTAAATGTGGCTGTACACTCATGCCAGAAAATATATTCTTACTCATGAAGGGTCTGCCTAAACAGTTATTTCCTTGTTTGCTGTAACATGTAGACTTTCTCACTGATTTTTATTGTAAATTACTTTAGTCTTCAGAACTCTGTTTTTCAATAGATTTTATTTCCATTTAGCAACTGCTTTTTTTCAGAGGTTGAATTTATGTGTTCACTGACATAGAATATTTGTAAATACCCTTGTTAAGTCAACTGGATACTTGGCTAAAGACCAAGGTCAATTGTTACAATTGGAATATATACTTTAAATGTCTGTTTTTACTTATCTCTCTTCTTTTGTTCGGTTGTTGTTGTTGATTGCCTTTGAGTAAAGCATGACTCATAGTGACCCTATGAACAAAAGGCCTGAAGCCTTTAATGGTCCTATTGAAGTGCATGGCTAGAAGATAAAAAATTTCTTGGAAACTAATTCTTATATTTTGAAATTTTACAGATACTCCCTGATATGAATCGTAAGATTTTCTCTTATCTTCAATTATTTTCTATGTTTAATGAATATGTTAAAGCAACTCACTTTTCTTTGTGTGTTCAAATTGTTATTTAAGAAGCAAGTGAAATAATTACATATTGTCATCTTGTCATGCAAATTGAGTGGAATAGCCTAAAAGAGGCCATAAACTTTCCACACTTATTCATACTTGAAGAGTTTTCGCTTCTGATATACATAAGAGTATGAAATAGTCTTTTAGGGGATATATTTTAGAGGCAGACATAACTTAAATCATCTTATGTCAGTATATTGATGTATTTTATATTCTTTTCATCTTAGGTTTATTGGGAATTAAGTAGCCAGTTTGATATTACAGGAGACTTTTATTCCACGAAAGGAGTTTTTTCCATTGCTGATGGACAGAGTGAAGGGAGCTTTGATATTCATCTGCTGCCTGATGACATACCTGAGATAGAAGAAGATTATGTGATCCAGCTTGTTTCTGTAGAGGGCGGAGCAGAACTAGATCCAGAAAAATGCATCACACAATTTGCTGTTTTTGCAAATGACGACCCTCATGGAATATTTGCCTTGTATTCTAACCACCAGTCAATACTTATTGGGCAGAACCTTAGTAGATATATCCAAATTAATGTTACTCGGCTTGCTGGAACATTTGGAGATGTGGCTGTTGGATTTCGAATATCATCTGACTTTGAGGAACAGCCAATTGTTACTGAAAATGAAGAGAGACAACTTGTGGTCAAAGATGGTGCCACATATAAAGTGGACACAGTGCCAATAAAGAATCAGGTTTGTAGGCATTTAATAGTTTTTTTGTAATTCAAAATATTATAAATCTTTGTGACTTTCCTTGTGCACATTATGATCATCTTATGCTCTTATTTAGAGCTTTTAAATGTAACTCTGAAAAATGCTTCCCCCCCCGCCCCCGTGGAATACCATGTACTCAAACATTTGAAGGGAGCTCTCATGACTTAGTGGTAAGAAGCTGCCTTGCAACCCCAAAGGCACACAGTTTGAACCCACCAGCTACTCTGTGGGAAAAGGATGGGCCGTCTTTTCTCCTCTTATTTACTGCTTCCAAAAACCCACCGGCAGGGCAGCTATGTGTCAATTCTGACTCAATGACACAAAACAACAGATATTTGAAGATTATAATTGAATTGAATAAATGTGTTCCTTTTTGAATATAAAGTAGTTTTGACTAATGGTGGTACTAGGTGCTGTCTAGGACACATCCTTCTCTCCTGGGAAGCCATCCTCTTGCATCAGCACCAGGCTGCAAATAGAAGACCAGAGTTATTAACTCACGAGAAGTCAATCCTGGAGTGGAAGTTTAAGAAAAAGGACTTTTTCTCAGAACCTTCCAAGGAAAGAAGCCAACCTTGATACTTGTACATGACGGTTGTACTTAGAGATTTTAAGATGAAATCATACTAGCTGCATCATAAGAGACTGACAGCAGCATGAGGTGTTCAGAATCACAGAAATCCCTCGACGAGATGGGTAGATTCTGTGATTGGGGTGGTGGGAATGAGTGTGTCAGACATAGCAAGGTTGGCACGGGATAGAACAGCGTTTAGGGCTCTTGTACGTAGGGTCGCTATGAGTTACAGGCAACTCGACGGCACATAAGAACAACAACAACAGTTGGTGTCAACTCGTAGGGACCTTATGCTCAACAGAAGGTAACGCTGGCCAGTCTTGCACGATCTTAAAAAACATTGCTGCGTTGGAGTCCATCATTGCAACCACTGTATGAATTCGTCTTGTTAAGAGTCCTACTTTACCAAGGGAGTTCTGGTGGCCTAGTGGGTCGGAAGTTGAGCTGCTAAGCCATAGGCAGGCAGTTCAAACCTATAAGCTGCCCTGTGGGAGCAAGGTTGACAGTCTCCTGTAGTGTGATTTACAGCCTCTGAAAATCCACTGGATCTTCAGCTATGAATTGGTTCTTAACTTGAATGCAATGAACAACAAGAGCAAACCTTTTACTAAGCAGGATGCCCTTTTTCTGATAATGATTTCTCCTGACATCAAGGATAATGTGAGACAAAGTCTCAGCATACTCATTTCTAAGGAACAATTCTGCCAGTACTTTTTTCAAGAGCATTTTTTTTCATTTTTTTACAGAGCATGATATAGTCAATATTCTTCAGAATAAGTATTATTCAGAGCATCAATGATTTTTACATCTTTTGTATTCATCGTTCAATTTTCACATGCATATGAAGTAACTTTGGGGAGGTGCGGGGGGCGGGGATTGTGTACCAATGAGGGAGTTTTTCTTTTGCTTTTCAAAGAGAGGAGCAAAACGGGGAGGGGGGAGAGGGAGGGGTTTGTGCGGGGAGAAGGGTGCAACAGTGAATGAATGGAATTCCAAAATCTCTGTAGATGTTCATTGAAATGAAAAATAAACAACCTAAATTAAAAAAAAATACTATTATTTGAGTCAGATGTACTTTTGTCTGTAACTTTACTTTTCCATACTTGAAATGGTCTTTTGCAGCAGATTGGCCAATATAATATGACATTTAGTGTTTTAAATTAAACAGTGTCACTTCCATGGATCCAGGTAAGTGAGATCCTTGACATTTCGATATTTTTCAGAATATTGCTTTTTGGTCTAGTTGTGAGATTTTTTTGGTTTTGTTTATATTGAAGTGTAGTTTGTACTGAGATTGTTGTCTTTGATTTTCACTAGTAAGGACTTAAGTCCTTTTCACTTTCAGCAAGCACTTGACCTTACATATTTCAGATTGTTAATTATTCTTCTTCCAATCCTGATGCATGTTCTTCACACTGTACAGTCTCTTGGATTATTTTCTTAACACACAGATTTAGTGAAGTGATGTAACACCATTGATACACACCTTTGTACAGGTTCCACATGGGCACAATGAAGTATTCTGGAATACCCTCTTCTTGCAATGTTATTCATAACTTATTATAATCCCCACAATTCAAAATATTTATATGGTCAATAAATGTAAACATATCTCTAGGATCCTCTGCTTTCAGCAAGAATGTCCAACATCAGCAGTGCTATCACTCAGGGTTCCAGGTTCTTTTTGAATCCCACTTGAATTTCCGTAGATGTACTACTGTAATCATTTAAAATTAGCTTCAACATATTTTTACCTGGTGGCTTGATTGAACTGCAATCCCAGAGGCACACAGTTCAAATCCACTAGCTTCTCTGTGGGAGAAGGGTGGGCAGTCTCCTCCCATGCAATTTATTGCTTCTGGAAAACCTACTGTAGTTTTAGGGTCAGCTATGGGCCATTTCTGACTGGATGACCCAGAATAACAACAACATGGTATTCATGATGTTGCAGATAATTTCTGCTTTTCTGTGTTTCTTTGGAATAGGCATGCATATGTATTGCTTCAAATTGTGACTCCCAGATTTCTTGTCAAGAAATGAGTGAACATTTCTAGATTTGTAATTTGTTGAAATGTATCAGCTGGTATTCTATCAATGCTAAGATATTTATTTGTTTTCTTTTTAGTATTTTCGTGTAGTTTGCCTTTTCCCCTTCGATACCATTGCTATTTGGTCATATGCATTTATATTTGAATATACTCTTTAAATGGTTGAATGCGGACCGATTCTTTTTTTGGTACAAGGATTCTGTGTATTACCTCAATTACTTTCTTTCCTTGTTATTATTGCCTCCAGATCTTCAGTATTACAACTTGAAGCTTTAATTTTTTTTCTTTTGTTCTATCAGATTGAAAAATATTGTACTTGTCCTTTCCTTGATGTTTTCTAACTATAGGTATTTCACATACTTGTCATTTCACTTTTCAAATACTTTGCCCTCTTGAGCTGCCCTTGGAAACCTGCTATTCAGCTCTGTACTTCAGCATTTCTACTGTGTGTTCTAAGTACTCTGTTCAGGAGCAAGTTCCAGAGTCTTCTCTGAGATCTAGTTATGGCTTTCTTTTTTTCCTGTCTTTCTAATGCCCTTTTACTTTCTTTATATTCCATCTCTTTCATGTGATCAGACTACTTGTCTGGTCATCAGTCATTAGTGTTCACATCTGTTCTTGAGATGGTTTCTCTATTCCGTAGGAAAAATACCGGGCCGTACTTGGTTCTTGTAAACGTGTTTTCATTTTTTTTCAGCTTGCATGTGAATAATTGATAGTCAATTCCCTTGTCAGCCTTTTTCTGACTGTTGACTTTCCATGGATGGTTTTGTTGTTTTTATGTGCCGTTGAGTTGCTTGCGACTCATAGTGACCCTATGTACAACAGCTCTGAAACTTGCTCTATTCTGTGCCAACTTTGCTGTCCTGACACACCTACCCTCATTACCCCAGTCACTGAATCAATCCATCTCATCGATGGTCTTCTTCTCTTTCCCTGTCCCTCCACCCTTCCAAGAATGATGTCCTTCTTCAAGGACCGGTCCCTCTGCAACTTGTCCAAAGTATTTCAGATGAAGCCTCAGAATTGATTTTACAAATTGACATTGTTTTTACCTGGGCTCTTTCCCTTCCTTTTGCAGATGATTCCATCACTATTACTCTTGCTAATATTTACACTGTTCTTGATCCCGTTTGGAAATTTAAAAACTGGACATAAGTATTTTTGTCTTCACAACTACCAACTTTGTTCTACCTCACAGTATTAATACTGGTAATTTTTCTTATTTGGGAGCTGTGGTGGCCTAGAGGCAAGAAGCTACACTGCAATCCTGAAGGCACATGGTTCAAGGCCACAAACTGCTCAGCGGGAGAAGGGTGGGAAATCCCCTCCCATATGAATAACTGCTCCTGACCTCCCCACTCCAGGGTCAGCTATGGGTCAATTCCCACTTTATGATACACAAAAACAACATTTTGTCTTATAATTAATTAGAAAGACAAATACTGACAAAACTACTTGATACTAGCCAGTGTACAAATGACTAAAGTCTAATATCAGTATTTGTCTTGTAAAATTATTTACCATTTTCAAAATCATTGATGTTATTTTTTCAACAGGTCTTCCTACTACTGGGCTCCAGTTTCATAGTGCAACTGGAAACAGCGGTGCTTGTTGGTGCACAAGCCTATGGAGTGCCAAAAATTCTCCAGGAAGCCAAGTCAGCTGTCATACCTGTTTCAGAAAAAGCTGCCAATTCTCAGGTAATAGCTCTGGGGGTTCTACTATGAAGAAACCACTAGAGGGCAACCCTTACAGCAAACACTGAGATTCTTAAGGTATTTTCTTGAATCTAAATAATCCTGTGGCTAGCAAAATATATTTTATGCATATATTATGTTAAAATAACTTATAAAATGTCAATACTTAGGAGAAAAATATGCTTCCTTTTTGAAATATTGTTACTGTTTACCATCAAGTCAGAATCAACACATAGTTGACCCTCCATTGGGTTTTCAGAGGCAATAAATCTGATGAGCAATTACCCATCCTTTTCCTGAAGAGTAGTTCGTGGATTTGAACCATGCACATTTGAGATTGGAAAACAGCTTTTACTATTACATCCCCAAAATTTCTTTTGGAATATTAGAAAAATAGAAATCTTATAAGATTTAAATACAAGTAATACATTTTTAAAAATTAATTATCTATTGTAAAAATTCCCATATCTTCTCTTCAAATTACTTAATAAAATATTGAAATACCTTATGCTAAATCATCAAATTAGAGCAAAACCTTAGTTTTTCAAGCTTCCTCTTTTACTAACATTGTATGTTTTCATCTTTAATATTTACACTTCAGTTTGCTATGGAAGCTTTACACTGACATAGATAAATGCTAGCTGTCAGATTCTGTGCCATGATGTTTAACTCTTTGAATCTCTTGAGTTCATTGTAGTAAAGATAGCATCCTAGTTATTTCATAAATTTATACGAAAACAAAGAATACCTGAGGGCTATATTTGTTGTTAGGCTGATTCTGTCAATATAAACCTACAGCTGTTGAGTTGATTCTAACTCATCCTGACCTGATAGGATAGAGTAAACCTGCTCTATAGGGTTTCCAAGTCTATAGATCTTTCTAGAAGGAGACTGCTGCATCTTTCTCCCATGGAGCAACTGATGGATTGAAAACACAGACTTTTTTTATTAGCAGTTGAAAACTTCCCATTGCACCACCGAACTTGCTGTTCAGTCAGGAAGCAGTTGTGGGATAGCTTTTGTCTGCAACTGTGATAACCTTTGTGAACCATTAAAGCTATTATGAGAATCTTACTACTTTGACGCCTCAAAGTGCACAGAATGCTGGTGTGGAATCCATACAGAGTTGTTGGGACAAGAGTATGTGCTTATCTGTTCAGCAACATGTGTCATGGTGTCTCTGGTCATGACGATGGCATTTTCCATCCCCTCCCTCCTGGACAGCTTTGCCATGGGTAGAATGAAATGACTTTGTCTCCTAAAATAGTATCCATCAGCATTCAAAATGAGGGCGAAAGACCTTTCTCATCACCTCCTTCCTTCTCAAGGAAATGAAGACATAGAGTTTAATAATGCTGCCATGTATGGTTTTCATGTCTTTATTCACAGGTTGTTGTACCAAAAGTTTCCTTTCAAGGGACACTATTTCATTGGGTGTAGTAAAATATTTCTTCCTCCTTGTCCCTGTACACTGTCATGGCTGAAAATCCAGAAGGACAAGATGTGAGATGTTATAGTATAGACGAGCCCTTGGTGTATCTTCTTCTTTATTCCTTCCAGTATTTGTATGGGGTGTATATGAAAGGACATTTTCATGTAACAATGAGATGTGGTAAAGTTTTCAGGACCTGCTACACTGATCTTAAATAAAAACTTTTCCCCACCTCTTCTGCTATTACTTCATCGTTACCTCATGGCAAACATATTGTGCTTTTTTTGCTACTCTTTGTCCCAGTTTAAAAAGGGAGGAAAACTTAATAGCATGTAAATCTAGATCATATAGTACATTATTATATATTTTAGAGTAACAGCTTTATAGATATTGGAACAAGAAGAGGAGAAGAGGTACATTGAGGTGCCAGAATCTCAGTGTAGAGCTAGATTAGATTAGATTCTTACTCATTGTTTAAAATTTCTTTATCTGTACATCACATACCTTGGGAAGGTTGCCCTAAAAACAAGATCTTACTTGAAATGTCTGTATCTTTAAAAATCTGTGAGAGTTTCTGATCCTCAAAGGGGGGGGAAACAAAAAAGACAAATTGAACCATGCAGTTGAAAAGAGATGAAAGAGATCGTCTAGTTCATTTTCCTCATTTAAAGTATGAAGAAATTTATGACTGTATTTTTCAATGAACTCACAATTCAGTTTTACGTAAGTCAGATTCAGGAAAAGCCTGTAGACAAATGATAATAAAGTACAATTATCTTTTCATTTTATTTAACCATAATTACTTCATTTTTATGGCTGTACTACTAAGGAGTATTTTGGTAATAAAAATAAGATAAGCAACTATAATCTGGTAAAACAATATTTTCAGTCTTTGGATGTAACCTCTTAAATGTTTAAAACAAATAATGTTGAAATATAAAGAAAACATGTTTCATAAAGAAGGAGAATGCTTATATTTGACCTACTTTTTCAGAAAATAGAAAGTCTTACAAAGAATGAAAATATCTTAAGCACACTTTTCCTCAGGTTGGATTTGAATCTACTGCTTTTCAACTTACGGACATTGCTGCTGGAACCAGCCGTGTTGTGGTTTCGAGAAGAGGCACGTATGGCCCGCTCACGGTTGCCTGGACCCGTGGATATGAGCCAGGATCAGAAATCTCTGAATTCCTGGTTGTTGGCAACATGACACCCAATCTGGGTAAGTTGTAATTCTTTTCTGACTAGCCGCATAGAACTTAACTCATAACTCATTGCTCTAGGGCAGAAGCAACTTATAGCAGACTCTTCCATGGGTTTTCAGAGGGTATAGATTTCATAGTTCACTAAAGTACTCAGGAACAACGGTGTCTCTCTGGAGACTAAGGTGCACCTGATACAGGCCATGGTATTTGCAATCGCTTGTTATGCATCAGACAGTTGGACAATGACTAGGGAGGACAGAAGGAGAGTGGATGCTTTTGAGCTGTGGTGCTGGAGAAGAGTACTGAATGTACCATGGACTGCCAGGAAAACAAACAGATTCATCTTGGAGAGGGTTGAACCAGGCTGCTCCTTGGAGGCAAGGATTCTGGGGCTTCATCTGACATACTTTGGACATGTTGCCAGGAGGGACGGGTCCTTGGAGAGGGACATCATGCTTGGGAGGGTGGAGGGACAGCGCAGGAGGGGAAGACCCTCTATGAGATGGATTGATTCGGTGACTGGGGTAATCGGGATGGGTGTGTCAGAGGCAGTGCAGCTGGCACAGGATAGAGCAGAGTTTAGGGCTGTTGTGCATGGGGTCGCTATGAGTCAAAAACGACTCGACGGCACATAACAACAAATAACAACATAGATTTCATCGGAGGAGATCGCTCATCTTTTTGTCTGCAGAGCTGCTGGTGGATTTGAACTACAAGAAAGACACTATCTTCGGTTAGCAGGGCAACTCAAAGCCCCATGGACTACACCATTAGTGTTCCCCCCATTGTACATGGAGATGTACAATTGTCAATTAATTTTTGTTAGTTATGCTTACTCTGGGCTTTGCAATGATTGTGTTCTACTATAAAAACAAAAGTATCCACTTCCTAAACAACATGCCTTCAGAAACTCTATGAACTTTGAGAAATGTCCTAAGTTGCAGAGGAACTTCCAGCCTTTTGTTCATGGGGTCATTATGAGTCATGCTCGACTTGAAGGCAGTCAACAACAACATTGGCAACTGTGTCAGTCTGGAGACTAAGGTGCGCCTGATCCAGGCCATGTTCTTCGCAGTCACTTGCTATGCATCAGAAAGCTCGACAAAGACTAGGGATGATAGAGAAATTTATGCTTTTGAGCTGTGGAGAAGAGTATTGAATATATCGGGGACTTCCAGAGAACAAACAGGTTCATCCTAGAGAGAGTGAAACCAGGCTGCTCCTTGGAGGCAAGGATTCTGAAGCTCTGTCTGACATACTTTGAGCATGTTGCAAGGAGGGGCCAGTCCTTGGAGAGGGACATGATGCTTGGGAGGGTGGATGGACAGGGAAAGAGAGGAAGACCCTGGATACGATGGAATGACTCAGTCACTGGGGTAATGGGAGTAGATGTGTCAGAGACAAGAAGGTTGGCACAGGACAGAGCAGGGTTCAGAGCTGTTGTATACAATGACACATAACAACAGCAACAATATTGGCATCAAGTAGATTCTAATTTGCAGTGATACCCTGCAGCTGAGTAGAACTCTGTCATAGGATTTCTAAGGCCATAAATCTTTACAGAAGCTGCTTGCCACATCTTTGTCCCTTAGAGGACTTGGTTGATCCAAACTGCTAATCGTTTGTTTATCAGCTTTATTGTTTATTGCTTATTCACTGCATCATCAGGGGCTCTTCTAGAATATTGCTGCATGTTCACATGATCAAAATGTCCCAGTCTACTTGGTGAGAACAAAAGAAAACCTGTGCTGTCAAGTCAGCCCTCAGTGACCCTGAGTGACCCTGCCTGATCCAGTGACATCCTCACAATCCCTGCTATGGTTAAGCCCATTGTGCGGTCACCATGTCACTTCCTCTCATTGAGGGCGCTCCTCTCTCTCACTAACACTCGTATTTTCCAAGCACGATGTCCTTTCCCAGGACTGGCCTCGTCTGATAACATGCTCTAAGTATGCAATGAGGTCCTTAGGAGTGTTTTGGCTGGATATACTGCTTCTAAGACAGATTTCTTTGTTCTTTTGGGAGTGCATAATGTGTTACTGTTGTTGTTAGGCACTGTCAAGTCAAGCATAACTCATAGTGACCCTATGAACAGAAGATCTGAACCCTGTTCTAACCTGCGCCATCCTCACACTTTCTGACACACAAGAGTCCATGGCTGC